GGGGGGGGGGGCAATTGCTCCCCCCAGATATATAGTTAAAAAAGGCACTGTTTCACTACCTCTTCCCGTAAGGATTCAGCTAATGGTGTAATTGAGACAGCAAAAGGAACACCAGAGGCCTTCAAAACGTCTTGATTGTTTGGGATATTATACAGTGTAGAGCGCATGTATTGCGGACTACAGTTACCTTTAAAAGGAAAGAAGCTTTCAATAATACACAAATATTAAACAAAATATCCAGGGTTCTCAACAGCATTCGCGCCCCTTCCAATGTACACAGTTTGTACTGAATAAAGAGTGTCAAGGTTATCTGAAGACCTAGTCTGATCACTACAGTATAGTGTGGGATATCCTATTCGAATAGGTATGTTTTATTTTCATGTACGCATGTCCATTCCCTAAATTGAGTACCACGTTCTGTTCCTGCAATTGACTATACTGTTCCAATCTCTCAGGGAGTCATTGACCTTTCGCTTGGCGCTGCAGAATCTGAATATAAACGCTGGCAGGGTGAGTTTCCTGGTTCTTGAAATGATTTACATCTAGCTTAAAATGTGTACGATATAATCAAATTAATAGCGCTTCTGCTAGCTGTTCCAAACAAAAACCGTCAAGGTATAATCTTCTGTTGTTTATTTCTATAATTACCCTACATTCTTTTTATGATGAACGATCGAATTCAATATATAGATAAATTAGATATAATTTTTCACGAATTTAAATGCTGCTTGTTTATATTCCGATAATTCAACGGCAATTATAGAGGGCAAAACTAACCATCATCGCGGATAACACACTTCGTCGTGATCAAAGGAGGAACTCTGCCACGAACACTTGTATTAAACGCTGTGTCTTTGAAGTTATCCTGATCGTCTTTCATAACTTGAATCTGAAACAACAACATGACCAATTACGTAAAGGAACAATTTGTCGCTTCAGATTCGGCGCAAAGGAAACTTACAGTCGTTAGTAAGGGCCTGATACGAGGTTGGGTTTTATATTATCATCCCAACATAACTTCACCATTATGTCCGAATTATAAACAGGGGCGCACAGAGAAATTCGGGGCCCTAAGGCAAATAGTGATTTTCCGCTAGTGCTTTCCCATCGTCAAAGAAATTTATTTCCATTTTCGTTTCAATTAGCGAGATTATTTCTTTTGGTTTTGAATATTTAAATAACATTTTCAATACGCATTCGAATTGATTTGAAATCTAGCTAGAGTCCCTGAAATAGCAAATTCCTGCATTCTGGGAGAATATTTAACTGTGGTTTCTAATGCATTTTTTTTTACTTTATCTGAGATGGTGGTATACTCCGCAGAAAATTGTAACTGTACACAAATTAGAGGAATCTAGAAATTTGTATACTGACTTACTGGACTGGGTATCTGATCTGGATCTATTCTTCTTGATTGTTGTGACATTGGTGAACTCATCCCCATTCCACTCGAAGGAGCAGGTCTACCTTGTCCTAGACCATATCCTGGCATTGGTGGTGTGGGCTACAGAAAAGAAATGTAAGATTGATAGTTGGTAACGTCCAATCTATGATTAGCAGTGGCAAAGCTAGCTATGGCAACTGGTCATGCTATGTTAATAAACCTGCAACTAAATAGGTTAAAGACAATGTACTTATAAGGTTTAGATAATTCAAATCATTAAAAATTTGGATAGCATGGCCTGTTGCTATAAGGCTAGTTTCGCCACTGATGATTACGGTGTATGTATGTGATTACGGTGTATGTATGATTACGGTGTATATATGATTACGGTGTATGTATGCGGTGTATGTGAATGAATAGCCACCATGGGAAAACCACTGCTTGAATTTCACCATTCTCGTACCCAGAGCCCTTCTTACGCGCGGTGTGACGAGGGGCTCTGGCCAAATCCATATTCCGAACTGGCATCTGATTGGCTAGTTCTAACACCGGATATTGTTTTCTTACCATGTTTTTATGGTATCCGGTTATGGATTTGGCCAGAGCCCCTTGTCGCACCGCGCGTAAGAAGGGCTCTGGGTACGAGAATGGAATTTCACCATCAATTCAAACTCGTACCCAGGCTCTTTCCTAGGTACGATTTTCTGGGTATGAGGTTGAGCATTCGCGCTATGAATGCTTATTACCTCCCCCAAATTTGCACGTTGTTTACACTATCAAGCATGCAAGACAGGCACACTAAGGCTTATGCAAACTTATTTAAAAGCTGATTTGCACTACAAAGGCCTACAAACTTATTTAGAAGTATCACTCGTTTCTACTCAACAATGGATTTTATTAAATAACGCTGAGTAAACCGACAGGCGTTATTTTGGGGGTCATTTTGCAATGATGGTATTCATTCATCAGCTGAATCAACTGGAAGAAACCACAGAAAAATCCTAGGTTTGCAGTATTCATATTTACGAACGTGTTCTACAACTGCCTGAACATGCATGAGTCGGTGCTGACATTAAGCCCGTTTTCCACTAAGCCAAATTGACAACTGTTTCTCGAAATTTGAAAACAACTTGATTGGTTTGTGACAAAAACTCACTAAGAGGAAAACGGTTTTTATTATAACTGTTATTTCAATCTTTGTCACAACCTGTTTCAGGTTACCTGGGTATTAGCATTTCCCATCTGTGTCATAGGTCCAGTTAAATTTATCGGTGCTTGACCTGGCTGTGGAGGATAATTGTGATGACCTGTAGTTCCAGGTGCGACTCCAGGGTTAGCCATTTGGAATCGTTGTGAAGGCGGTGCAACACCAGATGAATGTGGAGGCATCCCTCTTGGCTGGCCTGGAAGTGGAGGTCCACTTAACCCAATGTTTGGACCTGGTATGACAGAACAAATATACTCACTGTAAACTTAAGTATATGATTGTCAACATAATTGTTTAATTTAATAAAACTAAGTGATTCAAGAAAACCAAGTCTCATCATACATGATGAGGATTGGTTTTTCATTGTTGTGAAGTTCGCCGATAACTTCAATTTGAGTGAAAAATGTGTGGCAATTGACTGCCAAAATTCAACTTAGAACTTGCAGAAGTCTAAACTAGGCTGGCTAAACTGTTTTTGCACTCCACGCTCAGATAGGAAGAACTTTGTGTTGACTACCTCACAGGCATTTGTTGCGGGGATGTCACCATGACCCTTACCCCAACCCCAATCCACAACAAGAGGTACTAGTCAACCAGGAATAACTTTATAATATATATATATCGGTTGAGAAACAGTACCCTGCCAATTTCACCATTTTTTAAATAACTACAAGCAGCAAGTTATATCACAAGTGAATACCAACATGACAACAGCTAGGGCGGTACCAGAAAAGTGGACCTCTTTTATCAGGTGAGTCAACATTTAGTTCTGGATATCACACAAAAACCGAATTCACATGTATATAAGAAAAAACGAACTTGTTCTAGTAAAATAGTTTTAGTACTTGGCAAGGGCTCTTTTTCTTGAGGTTCGCATTTCTTTTTCCTGTCTTTGTAGCTCGTTAAAAAATAGCGTTTTCTGCTTCTTTCTCGTCTAATAGTTTTTTGTAAATTGCTTACAGTTGCCGAAGCAAATCTCACCATGAATTTACAAAATTAATTTTTAAATCTCACCAAGTGCAACGTCATACTTACACGATATCAAGAATTATTTGTAGGCCCAAAAGGCAAGATTGTAAGTCATGTGTAATAATGATCTGTATGCAACTATGTTATTACTTTACCATTTGGTAATCCTTGTGAATGAGCACCTGGACCAGGGTACTGAGGTTGACTTGATGTTCCGGTCGTTGGTGGAGTGATGCCAGTAGCCATTCTTGGTGTAAACTGGTGTAATGGAGACTGTTGATCACTTCTGAAGTTTCCTCGCGTAGAGCCTTGTGGTGGAGCCATGGTAGACTGTACAGGTCGCATACCTGGTATTGTTGGCTGAGGTGGTCTATGTTGACCATCATTGATTTGAAGATTGCTCATTGGACGATTTAACATCTAGAATTATGGGATTATACATTCTGAGTCAATATTTAACAAATATAAAACATTTTCCGTGTTGATATACAGTTATACCAACATGAGTGGAAATTGGGAAAACTAGAGCTGTGCAAACTCCGGTTATTTTAGCTCCGGCTCCGGCAGTCAAAACTCCGGGTCCGGCAAGAAATTTTTAAGGAAATTCAATATTTAAAAGTGGAAGCAGGCAAAAGTATTTCAGTGTAATTTCAGAATTTATCTTTTTTAAAAACCTTTTTACAACACTATTAATAGTAAACCACATAGCAATATATAGTAAAATAACATATAAATAGTAATATATTAGTAAACAACAACTTAATTTTCCCATTTAATGCCAAATGTTCGTTGAAATATGAAATCATTTTTCATAATTTTGTCTGCCGGAGTTTTCCAACTCTGGCTCCGGCAAAATATGCCGGAGCTCCGGCACTCAGCTCTAGGGAAAACATACTATCTATACAAGCTATACCTGTTGAGAAAAACCTGTGGTTGATAGTGGGGGTTGTGAGTAACCAGACATATTTGGGGGCCTCTGATGTTGCATCATGGGTTGTTGTGGATGCCCAGGTTGTTGTGGATGCCCAGGTTGTTGTAGATGCCCAGGTTGTTGTAGATGCCCAGGTTGTTGTGGACGCCCAGGTTGTTGTGGATGCCCAGGTTGTTGTGGACGCCCAGGTTGTTGTGGACGTCCAGGTTGTTGTGAATGCCCAGGTTGTTGTGGATGCCCAGGTTGTTGTGGATGCCCAGGTTGTTGTGGATACCCATGTTGTTGTGGATGCCCAGGTTGTTGTGAATGCCCTGGCTGTTGTTGATGTAACATTCCTGGCCCATCCTAAAACCAAATTCCATTCAGATAGAAACAAATGAAGTTTTTACTAAAGTATGTTCAGTAATAATTATTGGGCCTATTTGAGAAAACCAATACTGTTTTTCTCATTAGATAACAGACCAAGTTCAAGAAAGAATAAGTCTATAGACTTGTAAGAGGCTATTTATATGAAAGATGGGATGATCAGGTTAAGTTAGTGGGACACAGGGATAGGGGTGCACCGGATATAGTATCCGGCCGGATAGTGACAAAATCATACTATCCGGTATTCTGGCCGAATATTTACTATTATCCGGCCGGATACCAGATAATTTGTTTTTCATGAAGTGTACTAAATTTCCGTTAATTGAAATATAAAAAAATACTAAAAAAATAGAAACCCAAACAGGACATGTGAAAAAGCTAGCCACTGATATAATTAATTGAATTAATTAACTATTCGCAGCACTTGGCGCCAAAACGCCGTACTAAATCCCATCGCTCAAAAACTTTTGGAAGTTTTCAGAAACATGTGAACGTTGGAAAAAGTTAAAAACAGATTTTTAATTACCCACAATTGATTATTTACTCAAAAATTTAAAAAATAGTGTCACCTTCTTCTGCACTAATGCATGGATAAATAAATATATATTATATATCAAGTACCGGTATTCAAATTGATAAAACATCCGGTATCCGGCGGCCAGATTTTTTTCAGATATCCGGCAAATTTGGTATCCGACCGGATAGTAAAAATCACTATCCAGTGCACCCCTACTCAGAAACAGCCTGGTAAACATGTTTTTGCAGTGTACTTCAGGGCTGGATTTTTATCGTGGCACTCACAGGAACTGCAGTATGTTTGAGACGAGAATGCTGTGCATCACTGTGGATGACAGTTTCTTGCCTTTCGTATACATTTTTAGGGAATTGGTATTATCAGAAGTTTGAAAAAATTTTGAAAACTTTCTTTGAGTTTACTACATTTTTAAAATAGTGCAGAATTTTTCATAGTGAAACACTGATATGAAAAGCAACAAAAATCTATATCCTTGTGAAGGGATGTTGATGCCAATGACAATTCTTCTTTATGTAGATGTTTTTATTTTCTTGAAACAAATGTTTCCCAGTTTATGTGTAACCATGATAAACAATTAACTCTCTAATGCAGAAGAAATACAGAAAAATAATTTTCTACCATAAGCTGTCACCCACAATCATGACATATTACATTAAAAATGCTATAGAATTGGGTCATTCCAGAAAACATCCATACCACCCCCACGGAGGAAATACGAAGTTAACCCCCCTACCCCCTTTGGATGTCCTAATACATTTACTATTATCAGAAACAATTTTTTCTCCCCTCCCCCTCCGGACGGCAGAAATTTCCTCTGTGGGGGGAGTATGGATCTTTTCTGGAACGACCCATTGGTGAAAATTGCTGTGGAGAGCCGCAGCACTCTATAGCAATTTTTGACATCATTGCTATGGAGAAGTTTTAGTTTTTGCATGAAACATGATTGGATGTACTGAGGGGAGTATGCATTTACAGAATGTTGAGTCAATTTAGTGGTTGTATATAATATTATGCAATTTTTCTTCTTGCTCTAACTTGTTAGACCCTGACCTAACCATCTATATATTTGATTAATTAATTAATACACTGTATAGTAAAAAGGTCAATATATGACTATATACTGAAAACTGATCGATCAAAATCTGATGCATAGTTTTTACATTTACTGTATTATTTATACAATATTGGTTGAACAATTTCAAAACTCTCCAGTCAGGTACCAAACAACATGTATGACTGAGCTGATAGCTAGACTGCAGAGTATGGCGTTTTTCGACGAGATCTCCGGTGTGCAGGAACATATTTCTGGTGCGCTGGTGTGCAAGCAAAATATTTCTGGTGCACTGGTGTGCAATTAAGCGCAAATTGCACAATGCAGACTACACAGTTTTTATTGTTACAAGTTTTTAAATCGGTTAGGAAGACTGTTGGGCTGATGGGAAATTAATGAGAAATTAATGCCCAAATTGCAGGATTTTGCGTTTCTGGGAGGCTAGTTTTCAAAATTTTCCCGGGGGCACATCACCCGGACCCCCTTAGCTGCCCCGTGCCTCCAGCGCTCGAAGTACTCGGGTGTGCACTAATTAATTGAAGTATAAATCTCCGGTGTGCAACTGCCATACTCTGCAGTCTGGGTACCCTGGTTGCCAGAGGTTCTGTATCTTTCGCCTTATTCCCGCTCGTATCTATTTTACGCGAGGCAAAGAGAACCTCTGGTGGCACGCGATACAAATCTCTCTTCCATGCTGACGTTGCCGTTTGAGAACTTGCAAAACCGGTTTTATATTTGTGACGTTTTTAAACTTCCGGGTTTGTCATACTACCAAAATAGCTCTCTTCAGACCTTGTGTAAAATTGATATTAAAAATATTAAGCAGCCCAAACATGCAGATTATTCGTAAGGATTATGTAGATTTTCTCACAAAAGCAAAAAAGCAACCTTACTGATTGTTAAATTTGTGGAATGCCGTTTGCATTAGCGAGCGTAAAAAGTCAAAAGTGAAAGAATATAAATATATAAATATTTATATATATGTGCAACGGAGCCAGTATGTAGCAACGTTTCCTTAACATACAACGGGAAAATATTGGCAAAATAAATCCTATTAATAACTATCAAAGTCGAAGAATTACCAAAATTTAAAACTTTGAACGATATAAAGCAAGTGACCAACACTTTAATATATTTTACAAATATTAATACTGTAACTGAGTGAACATGTCATGCCGTCAACTCAAGTCATGCCGCGATGGCAGCTCTTCTCCAGCGCAGAAAATCTTTTTATAGCAGAACAAAGTATAAGTTAATCTCAAATATAAACCCACACCAAGTAAAGCATTTTAAGATTTTAATACGTTCGACGTTCGTATTATTTCTGTATTTTGTTTACATCGTGTTCTCTGAGATTTATAAACAGGTTTTTTTGTCTAGCCAATCACACCACTTCATGTGACTGCTAATTATAACTAACCAATCATGTGCTTGGTACAAATTTTGTACCAAAGGAAGAGAGATTTGCATCGCGTGCCACCAGAGGTTCTCTTCGCCTCGCGTAAAATAAATACGAGCGGGAATAAGGCGAAAGATACAGAACCTCTGGCAACCAGGGTACAGTCTGGGCTGATAGCTCTGAAACCATATGCAGATGTTTCCCAGGATTTAAATGTTATCATATTCCATACCTTCATCTGAGGGCGCTGCTGATATTGACCTGGTCCCAAAGGGCCCCCAGCTGGATGTTGGGAACCCTGTCCCTGGTACAAGTGGCCATCACCATTCACCATACCAGGCTGTGGATGAAAATATGGTGGCCGATTACCTTGTCCTTGTATTGGTCGTGTACTGTAAGACAAAATCACACCCAAGTTTCCATAAAGCTACCTTACAGTTTAAGATCAATACATTTTCATTATGAAAACAATAATTATAATCAATTATATCCAACCTGAACGCCATTTTGTATTTATGGTGTCGACTTTCAGTCCCTTGATCGGAGACGATATTTCAAGCTTTCAAGCTTGAACTTTCCCTCGCAAAACCGCTCGAAATCTAGACTGAATCTATCTACAATCGTTGTACAAAAATTATTCTTTGTAACACATGAAAATGTACAGTTATTTTGTAAAATACGTAGTTTAAAAACAGTCACAATGCCACGTAGATTTAGCGGCCATTGTTATTTGTTACCAATGATTGTTACCAATCTCCCGGATGTCGTCTTCGTTTTCGGCCAATTTTCTGGTGAGAAACCGCTGATCAGCTGGAACGGCTATTAAAACACGGAGCATGGAGTACTGAGCACGGAGCAGTAGAAAAACCAAAATCGTTTGGAAGTAAGAAAATGGGGGTGGGGTGGGGTGGTTTAAAAAACACATACAAAATCATTTCAATGTACAAAACTGCCAAAAACCATGGATACATTTCAAACGCGCCGCCCTGAGTTTACGCTGGTTCCAGAGGTTCTTGATGCCGCCGTAAATAAATACGAACGAGAATAGGGCGGAAGATGTGAGAACCTCTGGCAACCACGGTACTCTGAGTTAAATGATCCATGATGTCTTGGAACGAACGAGGGAACGAAAACATGCTAGAAACTAGTTATCTTTGTTATGTTTACTCTCTATATACATTATTTGATATTATATTTCGGATGGTCAACACATCAACACATCATTTTGTCATAAAGGATTTCGATTTTCCAGTACTGCTTGACCGGCCCGAGTTTCTGTGCCATTGTAATTTTCATTTAAAACTTGGAGCTCTACCGTTGGCTATGACGTAGAATATAGGACTCTTAGCTTATTTTATTATTCTTATTCCGTGTTTTGTACGCGCGCCTTCCGCCTGTCATGCTACAACATACAGCCACAACGTTAACAGGAAAACGTGAAACCGAGGTCAACTAGGTAAGAACTTGAATAAACCTCGCAATAAAGTAAAATAAACCTGGGAACTGTTTTGGTTGAACTGCCGAACTTTACTCTGAAAGTTTCTAAAGGTACTGAATGCAATTTAGCGTACGTCAACAAACGTTTTGGGTTTTTTTAGGTTAGAGTCCTTTTATTATTATTTTCAGATTTAGCATAAGCACAAGCACAAAATGGATTAAACATTTCAAACATATTGATTTCTTATGTACTGTCCTCACTACGACGCAATTTGAATTATACGAGCACTCGAAGGGACTCGAAATGTATATATGGAATTCAGAGAGTGTGGCTATGTGCACACGGGCGTCGTTTTCGAGCGTTTTCAAAAACGTTTTTGTCCCTTTAATCGCTTTGATGCCCTGTTCACGTGGTTCAAAGGAAAATATCTCCAATATATTAAATAAACTACAGCTTCAGTCGTAAATTAATAGTTTTCGCATCCGTTTTAGCGTGAAAACGCAAATGAAAACGCTCGAAAACGTTACCGTGTGCAGTCAGTTTAGTCTATAAGGAAAAAAAGACGCAATTAAACGGTAGTTGTGTTCTTTTCTGACAACGCGAAAGAGGCTTTTTTTATTGTGCTTCGCTTCCAAACATCATACAATAATTGCATTAAAGAAGCTGGGACACCACAACAGCTTAACACCAATTACAATGGGCCCTTTACAAAGGCTGGGAGGGCCGAGGGGCTTAACAAACTTAGGTCATATCCAATCATTCTCATCATGTTTTGGCGCAGAGATTAGGCCATTTAAATTAATAGGGCAGTGGTTAGGAATCGGGGTTGTGTTTGAAGACAAGATCAAACAGATATACGGTTGTTCGTGGGCGAAACGCACAGCGAATAAACTCGTTCCCAGCTTATTGGCTGGGGCTTATGTGAGTGAGGTGAGGTTTGAGGTCAGCACTTGTTTCCATCTGGCATCTGATCTGCCATGCAAACTGACGGTGACTTCATTTTCGGAATATGGTGTTACATGCAGTAAATGGCAATGTAACTTACCCAAACCCATCCCTACTCAAACCGCAACCCTATAACTCTAATCCTAACTAAATTTTAATTTTGGGGGCTTAATCCAAAAAGAAACAACTTTGATCAACTTTTCATGTCAGTTGAGTAGATGGAAACAAATGAACACTGAGGGGAGGGGGCCAAATGTAACATTGCACAGGTGATATTTTAAAATGCGCTTTTGTTTGTTTGCTTGCTTGTTTGTGTTTTTGTTTGTTTGCTCCACCAAAATTACCGAACATCTTTTGAAATAAACAAAGGGACATTCACTGTGCCAGGAGGGGTCGGACGGGGAACCATCTGGAAAGCGTGTCAGTCGACAGCAAATGACAAGATGGCGGCCGTGAGTGAAGATATTTCTGATCGTGAATTGCGGGCGAAATTGAAAGAAAACGGTATCTCTTGTGGTCCTATAACTGCCACAACCAAGAACCTGTATATTCGCAAATTACGAAATAAGCTTTCTGAGGATGAAAGCGCTTTGAGCAGTGGTAAAGTGCCATCCAGAAAATCGTTGTCGCCCAAACCATCTTCACGGCGTGCATCGCCCAGCAGACGATCTGTTGACCCTACGCCGCCTTCAGGAAGAAAGCTTATCGGCTTTTCGAGCGACGAGGATGAGTCAGCAAAGGAGCCTGTAACCACGAGGCAAAAACGTTTATCTGGTCAATTTAAAGGAAGTCCAAGAAAATCGACTGCCTTTACACCTATACAAAATGAAGAGCGACCTGTTTTCCGAAGACGGTCTAACAACACGTCAAGCCCTAAATATAAACTCAGACAAGACGGAGAAAGGACGGATATTGATGGAAGGGTAAATATGAACTCGTACGCTTTTGAGCCAAAGCGTGGAAAATTGCCTTCGTATGCAGGCACAGCAGGGTTAAGAAATTTATTCCTGAAGAAAAGCATGGAAGATAGTAAGAAATATGCTAATACATCACCACCACCACCACCAGAAGTGACATATGATCTGGAAGTTGAAGATGAGACAGACAAAAACAGTTACCAATATACTTGGCTAATTTGGGTTTTGGTTATTGCGCTGGTTGTTGTATTTTTGTTGGTTTATAATTGGCAGTTTTTGTCTGCAATGTTATGGAATGGAGTCAGTAATGACCGTAAGTTTTGTACATTGAGCAGTTGGTTATTGTCTGACCGAGTCGAAACAACTTGCTTTCACCATAAATATGCTGGTGGGAAAATGTGGTGGGCAAGAATTATAACATTTCTGCTGGCTTCATTAGGCTTGATTAAATTTGAGCATGTGGCATAGCCAAGTGGGTGGGGGCAAGGAGGGGTGGTCTAGGAGGGGTAACAGACCACTCCTCAATGACCATATAATTATCTGGGCAGATGTGGAGAGGTGTTGATGTCTGGAAAATGTCATACACATCCATTTACTAAATGCATGAAACATTATAGTCATTGTAATCTATTATACACATTAGAATTATAACATATACAATACTGTTCTGGTTTGTATAAGAAAATTATTTGATGGAAACTTTTTTGTGGATATGGTTTACCTTTGAAAAGAACCTGTTTCAGTATGTGTGAAATGCTATTCTGGATACCCTAGAAATGTAAAATGGGGATGAAGCCTGTTATGATTATGTGAAACCAAATTAACACTCTGACACTCTGTTTTTGCCACTGTGTTTTTAATTAACCTATTAAGTTGCAATGTGCCCTGATGCAGCCTACTTTATTATTTTACCCTGTCTAATGCCAGATGCCCAGGAGAGTACTGAAGAGAGGAGAGAGTACTCTCGTCAAGGGGAGAGTACTGAAGCTCAATGTGCTAACTGAAAATAACAAATTGTTATGAATTGTTGGAGCATTTTAAAACATGAAACCCTCACATGAATACAATGTTCATGTGATCTCACTATTACAAAATTAGCATTATTTGAAACTGATGTCTCCCCACATTTTACGAAATTTCTAGTCTTTAATAGAATAAACATTCCCCGCATTTGCTGGCTGTCAATAAAAACTACTTACTTACAAATTATGAATGAACAACCCTATCCTCTTCTATTTGAAGCTATTGCTTTGTGTGCACTCACTCAAATTCTGGAAGTGTGTATTTAAAATGGAAAGCATCCTACTATTGTCTTTACATCATATAGAAATTTAATTCCTCTTGTTGGGTACATTCCATTTGATGAGTAAAATTGTCTGGTATTAAACAGAGTAAAACAAGGCAAATTCATGTTCCTTTAACCCACTGAGTTGCATTGTGCCCTAATGCACCCTACTTTATTACTTTACTCTGCCTGATGGTTTAATTAAAAGAAGAAATGGGCAGACTTGATATATAGTCTTGTTAACTACCATCACCATGATAAGTAAAATTGTCTGGCATTAAACTTAGGGTGCGGTATGTTGTGGCTTTAATTACCAATCTATGCTAGTAATATTTTATGCACTGTGTATTTTTATAGAGCTAAAGATTTGTGGGCCTTCTTTTCATGGAAATGAGGTGTGTGACAGTGTGTCTTCATTGTTTGGGAGTGGTAATACGACAGCGAAAGTCAATATTAACCAGATTTTTAATACACATATCTTTCTCATTTATTGAACATTGATTTGAAGGAAGGGATAACTCCCAAAATATCTGCACCGTCTGCATCAGATATTCAGATGAGCCTAGATCTTCAATGAAAATGTGAAAGCTTCGAATTGTGTATCTCTACCAATCTGAAGCTTTCTTATTGCCACTACCTACACTGGCACAGAAATAATGTTATCCTTACCCTATTACCTCAAGTGGAATTTGTGGTTTCAGGGTAAAGGTAACAAGTTTCAGAGTACTTATTTTCAGGTTAATAGGGCATATATGACAAAGGAAAAACAACCATGTTAGTGATCAAACATGGAAGTAGTAGTACTGTGTATTGTTTCTGTCAAAGGCTTTGCCAATTTAGAGCAGTTTATTGTCAATGAAAAGGCAGTAGGGTACAATGAAAACTTTGGTTGACACAGATACATGGATGCTTAGCGTGTATATAGTGCAATAGATGAGAAATGAAACTTAAAAATGGGCGCATTTTGCATCAAAGCATGTGAAATCTTGGATAACACCAACAATCAGGGGCATAGGAAGTGGGGGGCCGAGGGATGTGACTAAAGAATGTGGGAATAAATGTAAAATTAATTATGTAATCCAGTATTATCCTTTGGCTGACTAACTATTTGCTTCCCAAAACAATGTTTTAAATGGCTGAATTCAAAATGCAATTTCAGAGGGTTCTCAAAGGCCTTGTTTCAGGATTTTTTGCAATTTGGGACATGCACATCCCAATGTCCAGACTTCAGTACTCTGTTAATCATGAACTGGAGTGTTAAAATGTAGGAGGTATATCTGTGCTTCGTCTGGCGTCATTCCTCGTGGCAATAGGACGGCAGTGTAGCTTTGTAAGTAATGCAGCATGTAAAATACTAAAATGATGATAGGTGTATATGTTTTATTTCAGAATGAAGCTTGCCTGAGTGAAGAAGATATTACAGAAAAACTTGTTGAACATCTACAGTATGAACTGGGTACAATGTTAGGTGTGTTTTTACAGTTTGTTTTTAAATAGAAATTAGAAGTTAATTGTTATGGAAGTAATTTATAAATTTTTGTAAGGACCTGTTTTTACTGTAATTGTATGATCCTACTTTCTGAAACGTCTCCTCTAGGCCTAGCAGGGTGAATTTTCCCTGTGTTCACATGGAGTTTTTCATCGACCTCAATTGACCATTTGCGTAATAGACTAGCTAAACAAGTCTAGACACAAATGTCATCACAGCTTGAAGGAGCATCACAAAATTAGTAATATTTCAAAGTTTCGTTGCAAAATGTTCTAAAATGCAGATAATATAGCCTTGCGAAGTTTGCAATTTTCAGTCATTTTAGATTACAAACGGGAAATTGACAGCCCAATACCCTTTGGGGCTGTCAATTTCCCGTTTGTAATCTAAAATGACTGAAAATTGCAAACTTCGCAAGGCTATATTTTCCGCATTTTACAACATTTCGCAACGAAACTTTGGAATATTACTAATTTTGTGATGCTCTTTCAAGCTGTGATGAAATTTTTGTTGAGATCAAAATTTAGTCTATTACGCAAGTGATCAATTGTAATTGAGATAAAAATACCATGCTTAACTTGTACATTTGGGTCATGCAACACAAATGTTTTAATAACTTTGGTGTCTTTTTTACGCATTGCTTTATAGTAACGTTAGTATTTAAACTCTGTTTACAAAACAAATATAACAATTGTTAAATGGCAAAATACGAAATTCGATTTTTTTACTTCGTCCCGGCTTACAGTTTCGCCTTATACAATCTCGTCAAACGGACCAATTTATTATAGTAATATAACTAGGAGGGGAGATCATAGGTAGGCGAGACGTCTCTGTAAGCGGCTCACACGAACAAGCCTTAAGTTAAGAAATCCATTCTCCGTCCAGCGACCATGCACGCGGCGGTCGTTTCAGTTAACATTTTTTACGCGTTTCCACGCGAGCGGTTGGAACTTTTAAACGTGATTCTGTCCAAAAGAAATCTTTACCAATCCTATAGGTTTAACATAAAAACCACCTTGGTTCGTCAAAACTACGCCAGCATCTGTTTCACTTAAGTTTTGTAAGGCAGTCTCATGTGATACACTCGCTTTTCCATTTATTTCCCATGCTTTACTACCCTCCTTTAACAACTTGTTAGCTATCATTACCGTGAAAAATATCAGTAAAATTAATTAGTCATTATTTTAGAAAGTATGTTCTGTGGTTATAGACAAGGCCAATGTTGCGTTCACCTTGCCCTGAGGAGAACAACGATGCTTGATAAATAGCGCTCCTTTGTCACCCAAGACATTTTTTTCGTGTATTAACTGAAACTGGAGTGATTGACGGAGTGATTGACACATGTCTGCTTGTCACATCACTCATCTGTAACATGTATGTTATTGTCCAGTTTAAAAACACTCAATCTAGTACCTCTCCAGGCAAGACCACTTCGCATGGTCATCGGCCAGCCTTGTAACACCGTCGCCAACCGCGGTTACAGGGTGCTTTGATCGAAATTGTGCCGTCACGAGAGAAATGCACATTTCGTGTGCTACCGGCTACGCCAGGGCGCTTATGAAGAAATTGCAAAGGAATTCAATAAATATTTCTCTGAAGTAGGCAAAAAACTAGCAGAAGAAATTCCTGATAACGATATTGACCCTTTGCATTGTGTAACTCCAGTGTCAAATTCATTTACTTTCAAAACAATATCAGAAGAGGATGTAAACCGCATTATTTCTAGTATGAAAACCTGAAAATCTGCAGGAATTGATAAAATCTCGGTCAAACTCGTACAAGCAGCAGGGAAAACTATTTGAAATCTTTGAAAAATATATTCAATTTGTCTTTAAATACTGGTATATTCTCAGATGATTGGAAAATTTCTCGTGTTACGCCAATCTATAAATCCGACAATAAGACAGACTGTTGTAATTATACATGTAGACCAATTTCCATTATATCAAATGTAGCTCAAGTCTTCGAAAAGGTTATTTATAGCCAATTAATTGCCTTTCTGAATGAAAACAAAGTTATCGCTGAAAATCAATCCGGTTTTCGTCCAAATCATTCAACAGAGACTACTCTCTTACATTCAGTAATTCAATTATTTGGACAATATGGATAAAGGACTGATTAACGGAGTAGTATTTATAGATCTTAAAAAGGCATTCATGATACGGTTGATCATGCTCTAGAGACTCCTGGCAAAGCTTGAACGATGTGGAGTAAGAGAAACACCTCTCAAATGGTTTAAATCTTACTTACATCAGAGAAAACAAGTTTGCAAAATAAACAATGCCATGTCGGATGCAGTTGAAATTCGTTGTGGCGTCCCACAGGGGTCAAACCTTGGTCCTTTACTATTCAACTTATACATTAATGACCTTCCTAACTGCCTACAGACAACCAAGGCTTCCATGTTTGCGGATGACACCAACCTTTCTTGTAAAGGGCAATCATCTGCAGACATTGAGTACAAATTAATTAAACTGCGACTTAGACAATATTCAGAAATGGCTAATAAGTAATAAGTTAACATTAAACCGTACGAAAACTGAGCATATGCTTATTGGATCACAACAAAGGTTAGATAAAATCCTCGAAACTCCAAAGATACTATACAGGGTGTATCAAAAAAAACTGAACAGATTTGAAATTGCTCCCAATTTCGCAAAACACCTAGTTGTATCTGGTTTTATATATGTATAGCTTCTTTGGGTACTTATAATGTAAAATAATGAAAAAAATTTCTCGAACTCAAATTTTGTGAACCAGGGGGGGGTGTCTTTTCCAACAAATTAAAAATGGCTCGCGCACAAAATTTAAAAGCTGTAATCATATTTTGAGTTAATAGATTGAAAATTTGTCGGGTTTTTAATTACTGTACAAAATTTCAGACAATTTTGTTTAGTTTAAGCCCTTTAACTATTCATTTTGTTCTAAAAAGTCAGCCTTTCGCATGCTTAATTAATGCCTTTACCTAATTTGCATATTGCTGACATATGCAAATTAGGCAAATGCATTAATTAGGCATGCAAATAGCTGATTTTTCAGGAAAATTGTAACTTTGCGTGAATAGTTAAGGGGCTTAAACTGAACCAAATTGTCTGAAATTTTGTACAGTAATTAAAAACCCGACAAATTTTCCATCTGTTAACTCAAAATATGATTGCAGCTTTTAAATTTTGTGCGCGAGTCAGTTTTTAGTTTGTTGGAAAAGGTTCACAAAATTTGAGTTCGAGAAATTTTTCTCATTATTCTACATTATAAGTACCCAAAGAGGCTATATATATAAAAAACCGGATACAAATAGCTGTTTTGCGAAATTGAGAGCAATTTTAAATCTGTTCAGTTTTTTTTTATACACCCTGTATATGGCGAACATCAGATAAAAAGGGTAAGGGAAGAAACTGTTCTTGAACTCATAATTGATGACCAACAGACCTTTCCCCTTTTGAGTGAAATTTTGATCTAGACAGGTCTGGACAAAAATTTCATCACAGCTTGAAAGAGCATCACAAAATTAGTAATATTCCGAAGTTTCGTTGCGAAATGTTGTAAAATGCGGATAATATAGCCTTGCGAAGTTTGCCGTTTTTCAGTCATTTTGCATTACAAGCGGGAAATTGATAATCAGATGATCAAACTGATTATCAATTTCCCATTTGTAATACAAAATGACCGGAAAAATCCAAAACTCGCAAAGGCCATATCCAAAATGCAAGAGGGGGCAAATTGCCCTGGGCCCCGAGGTGCTGGGGGCCCCTGAAAATTTTTTGTTGGGCCCCGGTCTTTTTTGTGTGTTAAATATTTCCGCGCAAAGAACAAGATATCTGTTTTTTTGGGCGAAGTACCGAAATTTGGTATATCCCTGGAAAGCAATTGCAACGTACTCGTCCGGAAAAATGTTGTCGACGGGAGGTTGTTCTCCGAAAAAAAGTTTTTCCGGAAAAATTTTTTAGATAGGGACCCCTAAAAAAAATTGTCCCCGGGCCCCCGCCAACCTCTCGGCGACCCTGGCTATATTCGCATTTTACTACATTTCGCAACGAAACTTCGGAATATTACTAATTTTGTGATGCTCTTTCAAGCTGTGATGAAATTTTTGTCCAGGCATATCTAGATCAAAATTTCACTCATAAGGGGAAAGGTCTATTAAAAGGGAACAGGCACAATGATGAACAGTGTAAGAAAATTTCAAAAAGCATAGCCCTTTTACGAAAAGCTAAAGACTTTGTTTTTATACAAGAAGAATTAGTTACAATTTATAACTTATTAGTCATACCACATTTTAACTATTGCTCTACTATTTGGCATGATAATAACAAATCTCATATCGATAAATTATGGAAATTACAAAAGAGAGCTGCACGGGTTATAACTAGTTCTGACTACACTATTAGATCATCCCAAGTCTTTGGAACTCTTCAATGGCATCCAATAAAAAATCTCATGGACAAACAAGATCTAACAATGATGTTCAAAATTCTAAAAAACATGGCGCCTAATTACTTAACAATAACGTTTCGTAAATGTGACAACTCTAATAATACATTACGGAGTAACAATTTAAAACTGAGCCTTCCTAAGCCAAAAACAGATTTTTTTAAAGAGAGGCTTCTCCTACCATGGGGCTGTCGCGTGGAATAGTCTACCCTCTGACCTTTTACGAGTGATAGACGAATCCCAATCTATTTCTTCTTTTCGTAGCTTACTTAATAATTATTATGAAACTTTGTAATAGTTTGTAATGTAATGTCTTAAAGGTTAAATATTCTAATTCTTTTTTTAAAACACACGGCCCTTTGAAAATCACGCAAGTGAAAGGCTACCGTGGTCCGTGTATAAATATTTTAAAATAATAATAATAATAATAATACATACGCTTTCCACGTGCACATTACGCGATCGCGTAGCAAAATAAAGCGCCTGGGTGCGAGGTGGTTGTCGATATAATAGAGACTGATAACGTCATTTTGTGTTTGAAATCAAGAACGGCAGTCAATGCAGTTTCATGTTCATGATTTCAAACAAGAACGGCTGTCACCATATCTTGCCATCTATATCGGCTCGATTGACTTCCGGTTGGCGACCGTGTTGTCAAAAACGTTGCTTGCTTGAGCTCTCTATAAATGTTTACTTAGTCCCGATGCTCGTTTTTATAGGTTTGTCTAAATGCGGTTACTCGACGAAAGATGGGAAAATGACAAGAGCTGAACTGGAAAAATGGGTGAATGAACGCCTTGTAAGTGCACAAACCAACACAAGGTAGAACAGCGAGCTAGGGACGGACCATTAGAAAAGTGATGGGGGGGGGGGAGCCAAAAAAATTAGGAAAAAAATCTTCCCATGCAGAGTACAAAAAAAAATTCCTAGCTTGGAAGATAGGCCTATAAATTTCACTCCAAAAAAATATTTCCAGTCATCAAGTGAGAAAAAAAATTTCTATAGGTGTACAAAAAAATATATATTGCCTCTTAGAACACATCACTTTTCTAATGGTCCGTCCCTTATATTGAGTGTAGATGTCCAAAATCCTGATATTTACCCATACCCCTTACATTGGTATCACCTTGGTATTAACCATACAAGAATCTGCAAGACACATGACTGAAACACTCACTTCACCTGAAATAAAGCAAAGCTTGTTACTCAGAGTTTCATGCCTGAGTTTACAGACAATCTTCGGACTTACCTATACTTGTGTGTATATTTCTGCAGGGAAACAAGCATTGTAAAGACAAAGTAGTAAAAAACATTAAAGAATATATTCTGCAAAATCCTGGCTTTTCGCTGAGGTAAAGTTTTGTTATTTGTGTTGGTATATAGAGCGCGTGCAGTACGCCCCCATAATTTCTGGAAGTCTTTGAATGGTATCTGAATCGATTCTATAACAAAGCTGTGCCTATAATATTTAAACTATAAGTGCTGTCGTGGGCTAAAAATTATTCGCCTTCCCCCCCCCCCAATATTTCATTAATAATTATAATGAGCCAAACTGAAAGGAAACCAAAACCGTCTCGTCTTGATACCACGGTAATAAACGCCCATAAATTAGCTCAACTATCGTCTTGAATTTCTCTTTAATTATAAGTCCGTTTGAGAAGTAATAAACTCGAAAGCTGCATGTGTATTACCAGCGCATAAAACACTCTGCTAGTGCCTCGTTTTTTAACACACTTTTCGGTATTTTATACGCCGGTACTAAACACTTTCTCGTTAATTATATATTACATAGTACACTTTATACCAATCTGGGACCAATTACAAAAAGCTTGAAGAAATGACTATCCACAGCCCCGGGACACTAAAATCACATTCGTGATTTATACATTTATAGATTTGTCTTAAAGCCATGTTACACCAAGCGATTTTTACAGCAAATTGCAATGCAGTTTCAGATACAGAGCCATGTTATTATCCAACAATATGTCGCAGAGAAATGTGAGCATCGCCCACATTCTACTCTGCCAGCATTTTCATTATATTACTTATAAAAATGAAAGAAATATGATGAAAAATCAGAATAAACCGTGGCCCATGTTCATGCAGATTTTCCTGGCACTTCTTTTTTAGACAATGTCTATATATGTCAAAAGCAAGTTGCAGGCAGCAAAACATGTGTCAAAAGCCATGTGGTGTAATATGGCCTTTACTATATATGCATTGCTCTAATCGTGTTTTTGATTTGTTAAGGTGTGCTGATAAAAATGGAACGGATGTGACAAATGCGACTCAAAGGTTAGAGACTATTGTAACTTCACTGGCGCTGAAACCTCTAATGTGCAGGATAAGGGAAGCATTTTCAAGAGTTTTCTATCAACTGCTGTTCCTTTGCGCAGGTAACGTTGAAATATTTTGTTTTTGCTGGGCAAAATGATATACAGAGGCTAACAATTGCACTGAACTTTTTAAGGTTTTTGTACGCCAGCAATTTAGGCCCTTTGTAAATGAATAAAAATTCCATAATAATAGAGTACAGCATAGGAAAATGCATGTTGGTAAATCCAGCATTAATTGAAGATCGTTGTCGAGCTCGGATCCTTTCTTGATACAAAACATTCATGAGAAAAACCAAACACTGCGTTGTCAACGTAAAGTTGATTCATGCGCGATCACTGTTGCTATCGTAAGAATAATGTTTAACTTGTTAAGTCGCGAGAATATCTCGTGCGCTTAAATATGGATTTGAATCTGTGCTCTACCCAGTTGACTTGATAGCTCAATCGGTAGAGCGTCAGCCCGGTTCCTTGAATATGCGAGTTCAAATCCCGCGTGAGTGAACTTCGTGTTGACAACGCTGCAGTATTGGGTTTTCATGAATATATTGTGAAATATTTCCCTGATGATGATCTTTTTCCTCAGCTATAATCTGCTGTGTCTGTGTCTACTTCGTTGTGAAGTACCGCTGGATGTTGCGCGAACGAAGAACTCGACAAATGTTTCAGCTTGTTGACAAAATCTTAGGTATGATTACTTTAAATATAATTGTGAACACCGTGGCCGCCGAGAGAATTCACGGGGCCTGGGGCAAATTGTTCCCCGGGTGCTTATCACGTCATAATTATAAAATACAGAAACAGTGTGGAAGGCTGAAGCGCCCCTCTACAGGGTGTATCAAAAAAAACTGAACAGATTTGAAATTGCTCTCAATTTCGCAAAACACCTATTTGTATCCGTTTTTTTATATATATAGCTTCGTTG